CCTCCTCACTTTCTGTCATCAGAGTGGTATCATCTGCATATCGGAGGTTGTTGATATTTCTTTCGGTAGTCCTGATTACGGCTTGGGGTTCATCCAGTCTTGCCTTTTGCATGATGTATTCTGCATATAAGTTAAATAAGCAGGGGAACAATATACAGCTTTGTCGTACTCCTCTCCCAATTTTGAACCAATCAGTTCTTCCATATCTAGTTCTAACTGTTGCTTCCTGTCCCACATATAGATTTCTCAGGAGACAGATAAGGTGATCAGGCACTCCCATTTCTTTAAGGACTTGCCATAGTTTGCTGTGGTCCACACAGTCAAAGGCTTTTTTGCATAGTCAATGAAGCAGAAGTATATGTTTTTCTTGAACTCTCTGGCTTTCTCCGTAATCCCCAGACATAGAAAACAGCAATTGGAGAGCTCGTTTTAAGGGCAACGTTTGACTTTTAAAGCATGGGTCTTTGTAATGACAATGTGGATATAGCTCGTGGTTTAGGTATCTGGCTGCAGAGCTAGTGGCTGGAAGTTCAATTCCCCACTGAGCCTTCCCTGACGGACTGAACTCAATGATCCATAGGGTCCCTTTCAGCTTTGCAGTTCTAAAATTATAACACACCTGTACCTACCTTACCAGCAAAGAGGAGCAGTATATGGCATAATTTTCTCTTTTTTCTTCTTCCTTACTGATTGGAGGTGGGTATCATGCTTGTTCTAACTTTGGAGGCGGCAGCCCTAAACAATGACATTGTCTCCAATCCAGTCTTCAGGCTGTTTCAGTACATAAAGAAATCTTTTGTGCACTTCTAAATTTGTTTACATTGCACAATTAGCTGTAACAATCTGTCCATTTTGTTTTGTTTCTCATTGCATGACCAAAGTATCCTAGAATTCTGCATTTTAGTGCTTTTTATCACTTTTTGTTCTTGATGTCCTCTTCAGCATTCCTTCTTAGTCATCCTCTCAATCCAAGAAACTCCTTGCATCCTGTGATAAATCTATATGGAAAATGCTTCCATCTTTTTCATGGTTGCCTGGGTTAAAGTCCATAATTCCACAGTCCAGTAGAACTGAGAATACATAGCACTGTAAATTGTGTACTCTTAAAGCCAGCTTCAAGTTTTTGTTGTGGTCCGGATTGCTCTGTGGGTTAGGTGTTCTGGCTGAGGAACCAAAGATTGGGAGTTTGATTCCTCACGGTGACTTCCAAGAGAAGAGAACTCCTAGATTCACTAGAAAACCACTGTCCGTCTAAGTAGATAAGAACGACTAGATGGAAGAATGATCTGGTTTTGTACAAGGCACTTCCACATATGAGATGGACTACAAGCTCCTGTACAAATAACATCCGGCCAGGTCCTTAGCTCTGCCTTCACAGTAAAGGTGTACAAAGTTTTGGCTCAAGCAGAGCCAAAGATACACTGTTGAAGGTTATTGGCAGCAGTCTTCAAGCTAGTAATTTCAGCTGCCAGGAGCTGATGGGGAGAAAAAAAGAAACCAGGGTCTTCCACACACCCTTCCTTCAAACTCTGACTACAATGCAAACAGCAGAAAAGCAAAGGCGTATATGTACTTCTGTACCAGTGGAAGCCAAGACGGGCACAGTTGCTTTCTTGCATCTGTCCTTCCACAATAAATGCTGTTACAGTGGTGCCTCGCTAGATGATGAAAATCTGTTCCACTGAAATCGCTGTTTAGCTAAATCATTGTCTAGCGAAAAGCATTTCCCCATTGGAATGCATTGAAACCTGTTTAATGCGTTCCAATGGGGAAGAATCGTTGTCTAGCGAAGATCGGCCATAGGAAAGCCGCTTTTCGAACCGCTGTTCGATCAGCTGTTTAAATCGCTGTCTTGCGAAGTTTAGGTCCCGAAAACACCTGTTTGTGAGCACGGCGGGAGCTGTCAAAATCATTGTCTAGCAAAAATCAGTTTGCGAAGTAGGGACCAAACATTGTCCATCGAAATTCCCCCATAGGAATCACTGTTTTGCGAATCACTATAGCGATCGCAAAAACTCAATGTCTAGCAAAAAAACTGTCATGCGGGTTAACTGTCTAGCGAGGCACCACTGTATTAGGAAGGAAGGGTGGATATGATAGGGACGTGATGCTTGGTTTGACCCCCCTACCTGCAGCTTTCTGAAGTAGTTCCCAGAGGCAGGTACCGAAGCTGCAGGCAAACAATGCAACAATCAATATGCATGCTTTGCATAAGCAGTAAATGATGTGCATGAATTGCAAAATAGGCTGCCCAGAGATGGCCATGCTGGCGATGGGCAGAGCCTTTGGACCTCTGATGTCAATTCAGATTTAAGTCTCCATCCACTCATGGGATTCAGCTTGACCCAGTCCCATCTTTCTCAGCCGAACCTTCCTCACGGGATTTTATTGTGCAGATAAATTGGGGCAGAAAACAACCAACTGGAAGGGAAGTGGGGGCAGAAACAGAATTAACAGCCAGAATCTCATTGGTGTGCATGTCATGTTTAGGTAACTTGCTGCAGTTAAATGTGGTTCCTTGAAAAGATACCAGGGGAGCAGGGTTGGTTTGTGCAAGCAAACGGGACTGGGCAGCTCATCCGTTAGGTGCAGTAAGTTCCACACACCGATATATGGGCACCAGGAGGATTCTGGCCAAGAAATGAATAAAGTTGAATTCAGAAATCACAATATTCATAATTTAAGGAACAGGTCAGTCTCTTGTCATGTTTGATTTCGGACTTCAGGGTTGTTGCCCTTGAACAAAATCATTTCAAAAGCAGATCCCACCGAGAAACAGCTGATGCACTTCAATTGACCACATCTTCCAGTCCTCCTCCTGCATTCACTTCTTTCCAACAGAAAGCATCACTCCTCAGTGGTCCCCAGCCTTCGGTCCCCAGAGGTTCTTGGACTCAAACTCCCAGAAGCCTTTGCCACCCATTGTGCTGGCCAAGATTACTGGGAGTTGCAGTCCAATAACACCTAAGGACACAAGGTTGGGAACCACTGCTGCAGACGACGAAGGGGAGCAGAGTCTACAAAAGCCGATGTCAACCATGGGCCGGAATCCTTTTGGCAAATTATGGCAGTGCAGCGGGGGGGGGGTGTGAGCCTAAATCTTGGGAACAAATATTAATAATTGTGTACTGTCGAAAGCTTACTGTTTATATACTGCCCCATAGCACTTAAAGCACTCTCTGGGCAGTTTACAGTTTAATTATCCAGGCTACACATTGCCCCTGCAAGCAAGCCGGGTACTCAATTGACTGACCTCAGAAAGATCGAAGGCCGAGTGAACCTTGAGCCAGCCGCCTGGGACTGAACCCGGGTCATGAGTAGAGTTTTGGCAGTTTAACCATCACACCACAAGGCTCCTTAATTCAAGTCAGTTCTGACATACAGTGACCCTTCTCAGGGTTTTCTAGACAGAAAACACATAAATGGTTCGCCCTTCTCCTGGGATGCCCTGGTACTGTGCAGCTTGCCCAAGGCTACACAGGCTTCGTCTTCTGAATTCCCAGGGTCTGGCTGATGCCTAGCTTCTGATAATAAGGTGCTGGTTTGTGCTGCTAGATAGCTCAGTGGTCGAGGCCTCTGGCTGCAGAACCAGAGGCTGGGAGTTTGATTCCCCACTGGGCCTTCTTGATGGGCTGAACTCAATGATCCATAAGAGTCCCTTCCAGCTCTGCAGTTCTAAGATTGTTGTTGTTGGAATTCCCAGGGTCTGGCTGATGCCTAGCTTCTGATAATAAGGTGCTGGTTTGTGCTGCTAGATAGCTCAGTGGTCGAGGCCTCTGGCTGCAGAACCAGAGGCTGGGAGTTTGATTCCCCACTGGGCCTTCTTGATGGGCTGAACTCAATGATCCATAAGAGTCCCTTCCAGCTCTGCAGTTCTAAGATTGTTGTTGTTGTTCTCAGGGCAAGACTTCTTGTTGAGTAAGAGCACACCTGACAACTACATTTACAAAGGGATTTGTAAGCAACCAACATGAATCTGACCCAACTCCGGGAGGCAGTGGAAGAAAGACAGGAGGGCCTGGCGTGCTGTGGTCCATGGGGTCACGAAGAGTCGGACACGACTAAACGAACGACCGATTGTACATCTCTCGCTTATATCTCAGCTGAAAAATTTAAAAGACCTCTTTAATCATTAATGTTTGCACTGAAATATTAATGGAACTTTTGCAAACAGATGAACATTCTGTAAATCGTCCCCTGAATGGATTCAGATAGCGTTCAAGTCCTCGCTAACCCCTGGATAGAGAAAGTGAAACGGCAGATTCTTCAGCAAGTGTTATCAATCCACCTGGGCAGGGCTGATGGAACATGTAGTCCCACAACATCTGGAGGGCTGTCAGTTCCTTACCCCTGCTGTACATCAAAAAGAATATGAGTATTCCATTCGACAGAGATTTCCATTCAACCGAGGGAGGATTACATGAACTGAACTCCGAAGCTCCCTATTTAACTATAGTTAAATGCCGTTGACAGACCAGATAGTGTAGTGGATGGAGAGTTCTGGATTCAAATCCCTGCGCAGCCATGGAAAATCACTAGGGTGGGGAGTTGGGTCCTTTTTTAGGGGGAAGGTGAGGTAAAAAAATTTAAATAAATAAAATAGGTGGGGGGATGGGCCTCCAGATGTTTGGGGCTAAAATGGTCACCACCTGTTATTTTCAGCCAACGTGTGCTAAATTGTTCCCTGTGTTAAAAGTGTATGGAGGACCAACATCTAAAGTCCCCCCCTCCCGTCTTAACCCCTAAATGGAGACCAAGAAAGCCCTGCTCAGCTTCCTTTCAAACTTTCTAGGATTCAATTTCTAAACTTCAGCATTCGGGTTCTGCTCATCCATGCGCTCTGGGGAGGATTGGTCAAGCCTTGGGTTTGCCAGTTCCCTGGCTTGGCTTCGATCACATGACAGGAGACGGGAATCAATGGAAAAACCGCTCGGAGGAAAACGTGAGCTACGTTTAATGGGGTCCCCCGGACTTCCTTCCTTCCATTGGGGAAAAAAAATAAAAAAGAATTAAGAAGGACGACCCTAATACGGACCCTTTAATTAAAAGGCAGGGTTACAAATGACCCAGATTACATGGAGGGCCCTTCTAGGCGTGTCTACTCAGACCTAAAGCCCTCTTGAGTTCAATGGTGTGTTTACTCCATGGGTAAGTAATCCGAATCGAGGCTGCCATTATAGGGCTTGTATACTGTTACTGTCCATTTTAATCCTGTCTCAGCCCTTTCATGCAGGTTAATCCTCTCTCCTGTCGGGTTTATGGATGAAAACGGCAAATTTAGAACTGGATTTTTTTAAAAAAAACACGTCATAATATTTGGTGTGTCCTGGGTGAAATATGGATCTTCCCTCCCCTCTCACCCCCGGGAGTTTGATTCGTGAGCCAGGAGCCTGGGTTTCTTCTTTTCTGTGGAGTTTCATTGGCCTGCAGTAGTTTTGTGACATTGAGGAAGGAGACGTGGACGAGGAAGCTGCCCTTCCAAACTGCTGGATGTGGAGGAAAAGCTGCAGCAGCAAAAGGACCAGCCCTGTTGCTAAACCGCCGGGAGAAGCTGGCAATTCATTCTTCTTGCTCCTTTTTGAATTATTAAATCATAGAAAACTGAAGTTGGAAGGGGCATTGGCCTGCAGTAGTTTTGTGACATTGAGGAAGGAGACGTGGACGAGGAAGCTGCCCTTCCAAACTGCTGGATGTGGAGGAAAAGCTGCAGCAGCAAAAGGACCAGCCCTGTTGCTAAACCGCCGGGAGAAGCTGGCAATTCATTCTTCTTGCTCCTTTTTGAATTATTAAATCATAGAAAACTGAAGTTGGAAGGGGCCTCTAAGGCGCATTATTAAATCATAGAAAAGTGAAGTTGGAAGGGGCCTCTAAGGCCATCGAGTTCAACCCCCTGCTCAATGCAGGAATACAATCAAAGCATATCTGTCAGGTGCTTATCCATGTTTTTCTTGAATGTCTCCAGTGTCGGAGTGCTCACCACCTCCCAAAATAATTGGTTCCCTCGTCGTAATGTTCTAACAGGTCAGTTCCCCCCCCCCGACATCAGTCTAAATCTGGCTTCCTATAACTTGAGCCCATTATTACGTGTCCTAAATCCTTGGATGATCAAGAACAGATTCTGCCCCTTGTACATTCTGGGATGATCAAGAACAGATTCTGTCCCTCCTCTATATGAATACCTTTCAAGTATTGGAAAAGTGCTATCAGGTCTCCCGCCCCCCCAGTCGTCGTCTTCTTTTCTCAAGGCTAAACCTATCCAGTTCTTTTAGTCTTTCCTCACAGGGCTTAGTTTCGAGCCCATGGTCCCGAAAACCAAATCCCTCTCGTTGACACCACGTTCGTAGCCGGTCATTCACCCAGAGGATCTTCCTTTCTCTTTCAGTTCCTCTTCCGAACACCGGTAGGATGGAAGAAAAAAACTATCTGGGCCCCAAAGTCCTTGTGTTTCCTTCCCAGAGCTTCGTGATTTCTCGGTAGCTCCTCTTGGCTGTGTCGTTTGTTCCCACGTGGACAACAAGAAAAGGATACGTATCTGTAGGTTTTAGGAGTGAAGGCGATCCTTCCATCACATCCCTTATCCGTCCTCCAGGGAGACAGCATATCTGGCGAGTCCATGGATCCTCCTGGCAAATTTCGGTCTCAATTCCATGTAGCAGGGAGTCCCCTACTACAACTACTCTCCTCTTCTTCTTTTGTAGGGTGTGGGTTCAGCGACTGTATTCCTACGCATGTCCTCCTGTGGGGGGGTCTCCTCTGCATCCCGTCTGACCGACTCTTCTTCAAGTAACTGAAAGCGGTTTTGTAGTTTCACCAGGAAAGAGTGTCTTCTCCTTTTTTTGCTCCTCACTGTGATTCTTTTCCATGGCGGTTCCTCCACCCTGTAGCTTCTACCGCATTTTCCTCCATTGCAGTGTTTTGGCTTTCTTCCCTCAGCAGGGCCTCTTCCGACAGCTGGTGCTGCTGCTCACGAGTTCTATCAATGTAGGCTTCGTCTTCCCTGATAGCCTTGAGTGTGGCCACTCGCGGCTCCCGGTTTCTGACTTTCTGTTCTAACAGTGCCACCAGTTTACACTCACTATGTGTATAAAACACAGCACTTCCTGTCATGTAGATTTTTCTCCTTGTCATTTCTCACCATTGATTTTGCGGGTGGGGGCCAACGCTGGTTGCAGGCCAGCATCCTTTGGAGGGCCTCAAATTGTGCCCCCTTCACCTTTATAATGTTCTTCCAGTGCAGCCATTCCCAACTTTTGACTTTCCAGATATTTTGGATCTCAACACCTGGAAGTCTCGGCCAGAGTGAGCAGTGTTGAAGGGATTCTTCCGAAACATCAGTAGGGCCAAGTTTGGCTCTGTGATGGCAATTTGTGTGTGTGCATGTGCACGATGTCGAGGTTCAGCCCATGGCATCTGTAGTGAAAAGGGCCAGGCAGTATGTATGTATGTATGTATGTATGTATGTATGTATGTATGTATGTATGTATGTATGTATGTATGTATGTATGTATGTATGTATGTATTTATTTATTTATTTATTTGGAGGTTTATTTATTTATTTATTTATTTATTTTCTATGCCGCCCAATCTACCCAGAGGTCTCTGGATGGCTCACAACAATTAAAGTTCAATACAATAAAAGATAAAGTGATTAAAATACAATTAAAATACAATTAAAATTGCCATCATCAGGACCCACAGTTGATGTTATTTCAATTAAAAGCCTTCTGGAACAGGAAGGTTTTGACCTGGCGCCGAAATGTCATCAACGTCGGCGCCAGACGAATTTCAGTATGTGCTGGCATGTATTGTTTTGTTAATTCCAGTTATGGTCATCTGTCCAGACCCATAGCATGCTGCTTATATATCACCCCATAGTTCTTAAAGCACTCTCTGGTTCCATAGCATGCTGCTTATATATCATCCCATAGTTCTTAAAGCACCCTCTGGGTACTCGGTTTACTAACCTTGAAACGCTGAGTCAGCTTCAAGGCAGCTGCCTCGGATTGAACCGGGATTGTGAGCAGAGTTTCGACTGCAGTACAACCACCACGCAAGGAGGCTCAATAGGGCCCCCTTGTTGCTTCTAAGCCAAGCTGTAATCTTCATGAGACAGAGGAAGGGAATAGATTTTACCAACAACAGTGTACTGCCCTGAGCAATCCCTCTTATTGTGCAAGGTATTTTGTGATAGCTCGGTCTCGATCTGTCCAATAAGACCCATTAGGTTTACAAAAGACCTGCTCCTGGTGGAGAACTAGTTGATTGGTCTGGATCAAGGCAAACTGCTTGCATTTCTGGATTCTCAGCGGGGACAGGACTAGAGGAATTGTCATGGTGGGTGCTTCAGCTTCAAAATGTACCACTGCACCAGCGGCTGGATGGCATAATAGTCTGATTTGATATATGGCAGATTTATGCACCATCACCAGCTTCAAGTCTTCACCAGACTTGAGAGATCAGAAGGAAAGGAAAGTCACTCTCTGCCCCCGTGATAAGCCAGCTCCACTGGGCTTTGTTTCCCTCCAGAATCCATTCCATCAGTCTTAGGAAACTTTGCCGCAAATATTTTAACTACTTGTATTCATAATATTGAGAACTTATGTCTAATTTGTTTTTGTTTACTTTCCCCCATCCGTTTTTCCTTTTGTAACATATCTTCATAAACTGTTCATCTGTGGACAGGACTTGTCTTATCTTTTTAAAAAATGGATACACAACATTTTAAGGGCTGTACAGGAAGGAGTAAATCTGTAAATCCCCCCCCCAATCTTGAATCCCCAGGTGTTCTTAGACAGCAACTCCCAAAAATCCTAGCCAGCATATCTTAGTGGTGAAGGCATCTGGGAGTTGCAGTCCAAGAACATCTGGGGACCTATAGTTGGGAACCACTGGTCTAAAGGCTATGAACAGATGCCTAATTGAAAGTATACATCTGGAATAATACTGACATTGTTCTTCTAGGTGCTGTGAAGGTGAAACCACACAATGCAGAACGTTTGCAGGGTTTGGCCTCGTTTCCCAAAGTCAAAGCGGATTCATGCTTTTTGTTGTTTTAGAGTGAGTTCTGCGTATGTAGCCCCGTGTCTTTCGTGAAAGACCAGCAAAAAGGGGCTGAAACTAAATTCATGACATCCTGCCCTAAGTGCTTCTGCAGGAGAATCACAGGAACATGGCCTCTTTGGGTAAGGATTCTTTCCCCCCATTTTGGGCTCAGAAATGTGGGTTTTCTTATGCAGCTCTAAAGTTCAAGGAGGGTTTGGATCGAGGCTTTGATTTGATGCCCACCCTGTGAATCAATGGAATGCAGTTTTTGTAAAAGTGTATCTCGAGACTGAAGGATGCCTATGATGATTACTCCGTGTAAAACTTGCGGGGAGCCACGTTTCTTTTTCTGCCACCCTGCTTCTTGTTTCCCCTTCTCTGCCAATCCAGCATATTGAGAGGGGGAGAGGAAGGAGCAGGTAATGCTTACAAGCTGTTTGAACTGATCACCTGCAAAGACTTCTGAAATTGAGGATGAGAAATTCAGATGTTCCCCATTTAGATCATTTTAGAGAACCAGAACATTTCAGCAGGGAATCAGAATCTGGTAAAGTTAACATTTTGGATTGCAGTCCAAATACTAGGACCACCTTTCCCTCTTTATTTATTTATATTTTTTAAAATGTTGGATTCCAACATCCAGATCCCAACATCCTGGTCAGGATGGCCATTGTTTTCCAAGTTCTTAAAACAGAAAAAGACCAAAGAAAAAAGAAAAGAGGAAAAAAAGGCATTTTTCCAGAAACATGTTATTCCTTCTTTGTAAAGATTTCAAAATTATCAGATACCACTCTTGGCCAAATTAATGGTGGGAGGTCAGTGCTTAGAAAAGGGGCATTTTTTGGGGGGAATAACAACTCCCAGAATCTCCCTGCCATCCTGCTAGGAGAATTTTGGTCATTGTCATCCTAAAAAGTAAATAAGTAAAGTAGGTACGTAGGTACATGGGTACATATTCTGTTTTTATATTGCCAGTTAGTACAACGTACCACCCTGAGCAGTAAACAAACAAAGTAAATGCAAATTATATAGCAATAAAGTAAATTTTAAAAAAAGATAACCAAGAAGTCAATACAACAGCATAAGAACACCAAGAACAGACAGAGGGGACAATTTTGGCAGGTAGATCAAATTAGAAGCCACAAAAAGCTTCTTTAAAAGGCACCATCTTTAGTAGCCTCCTGAAGGTAGAGAAGGGAGGGAGGGGGCCAGGTGGAGCTCCAATCTGAAGGTAGAGGAGGGAGGGAGGGGGCCAGGTGGAGCTCCAAGGGGAGGCCAGTCCCAAGGGTGGGGGGCCACCACTAAGAAGGCATGATTTCTGGCAGAAGTCTTTCTGGACTCCCTTCTTGGCATGGCAGCTCCACCGGACTTTAATAATAGTAACTGAGTACCCAAAACATGCAGTTCCAGTGTTGACGGACATCTTTTCCAGAAAACTAAAAACACATGTCGTGTCTTTTTCCCCCCCTCAAACATCTTTCTCCTCTTGGATTAGAACTTCCCAATGTGACCATAAAGCTGGAAGATGAAGAGGAGGTGCCCTGGCTCCCAAATAACCAGGGATCAGAGGACACGGAGAACTTCCCAAGCACTCATTCAGGTGAGGGACAGCGACTGTCATTGCACGTGAACCTGCTTCAGTTTGTTTCAGGAGGAAGACTACTGTACAGCTGTGTTTTTTAAAAGAGCTACACAGCAGAGTGTAGTAGCTTGGGATCTGAACTGCAGGCAGATTGTCCAGCAAGATAATTTAATGCCGGCTTGAGGCTGACATTCTACTACCTGGTTTGTGGATATAACGCTACAGACTTAGTTTGCATAATAGTTATGAGGAATTTGTGTCCAAAATGGCTGTTGTTATCATGTGCGGTTAAATTGTCTCCTCCTGCTCATGGTGATCCTCTGAATGAGTATTCTCCAAAATTTCCTGTCCTCAGCCATTCTGCTCAACTCTTGCACACTCAAGCCTGTGTTATTCTTTAGGGAGTCGGTACATCTCTTATTTGGTCCGCTTCCTGTTGCTTTCAAGCAAATAATGCAGTACGTATAAATATGTACCTTGTGTTACTGTGTAGAGAGTAAGAGAGTAAGAGTTGGAAGGGGCCTATAAGGCCATTGAGTCCAACCCCCTTGCTCCATGTAGGAATCCAGATCAAAATATATTTGACAGAAGGTGGCCGAATTTTCTTTTGAATGCCTCCAGCATTGGAGCACTCACCACCTCCTCACTTAATTGGTTCCTTTGTCATACTTCTCTAACAGTTAGGAAGTTTTTCCTGACATTCAGCTGAAAATTTGGCTTCGTACCTTGAGCCTATTCTTACGTGTCCTGCACTCTAGGATGATGGAGAACAGATCCTGCCCCTCCTCTGGATGACTCAAGTATTTGAAGAGTGTTATCCTATTTCTCCTATCTTTTTTCAATGCTAAACCTACCCAGTTCTTTCAGGTTTTCCTCGTAGGGCTTGGTTTCCAGTTCCCTGATCATTCTTTGAACCTGTTCCAGTTTGTCTGAATCCTTCTTAAAACGCGGAGTACAAAACTGGGCACAGGACTCGAGGCTTAAGGCAGACTGACATATTTAATATTTGGTACGCAGAAGTGGTTGTTTCTCATCATATATTTTGCCAAGGTTGTAACACCTTTGTGTTCGCTGACCCAGTGGTGTGGGTGTTTGTAAGTGAGTGTAAGTGCATATGTTTTAGTTTATGAAAATAAAATATTGGAAGATATGCTAGAAAAGTACACATCGCTTGGAGACCTTTTTCTGCCTCTACATAGTACCAAAACTCAAAACTCAGTGGTGGGAGATTCAGAAGAGATAAAAGGAAGTACGTCTGCACTACAGTACAAAGTTACGCAATTTGCTGCTACAACATGTCAAATCCTGATATGTCTCAGCTAGCAGATCCTGAGTATTTGATCGCGCCTTCAACTTTGGGAGTTAGGCCAGGGGCTTCCCTGTGTGAGATTCTGTCCATAAGATCACACTTTCTTCACAAATTCTTTCCCTGAATGTTGCCAACACCCACACAAACATATACAGTACTTGATGTTTATTTACATTTTAGTTCAATTATTTATCTCCAGCTTAACTGTTTTGTCTCAAGAGACTTAATTAAAAAAAAGTGTAACAGCAATCAAACAGATATGGGAAATGGTTCAGATAAATGAAATGCAAGACACAGCAGTGTTTAAAATTACAGGCAATTCCATAAAAATGAAAGTAGAAATTGGCTTCAAAGGGCCTGGTAGAGTAAAATAAAGCAGAGCATGCTGCTTATATACTGGCCCGGTGTGCTTAAAATTTATTTATTTATTTATTTATTTATACTGGCCCAGTGTGCTTAAAACACTCTCTGGGTGGTTTAGAATTTAATTATACAGACTACATATTGCCTCTCCCCCCCCCCATGAGCTGGGTATTTATTTTACTGACTTTGGAAGGATGGAAGGCCGAGTGAACCTCAAGCCGGCTACCTCGGATTGAAGCCGGTTTATGAGCAGAGTTCTGTCTGCAGTGCTGCCGTTTAACCACCGCGCCACAAGGTGCAAAAAGTTATCTGTAAGAATATGCGATAAAATCGTACTCACCAGATTCATCCTGATTGTATCTCTTTCTGTCCATTCCCAGCAGGATTTCCTGTTCCGAAATCAGAGGTGATCCATGGAGGAGATCCATGGATTCCAGAGCCTGTTTCAGAGGAGAGAGAGATCCCGACTGATTACAGTTCAGGTAAACAAAAAAAATCTTGGCAAGCTCTTGGCAGTTTTCTTAGGTTTCCTAGATCCAAAGTAGTTCAGGTCCGATTTTTAAAAAGCGTGTCTCTCATCTTGAGCTCTTTAATGGAAATGCAGAGCCTACGCGTAACAGACAAATGTGTAAACTTAAACAGTACTTGAGCAGAATCTAAATCCTCCTTCGGCTACTGGGTAACATTGTTGGAAGAATTAAATATTAAATGAATTAAATTGCCTATAGCACTGTAAACATCTTGAAGAAAAAGATGAGGTAGGAACAGAATGAATGAAGCGAGATAGAAACAGAACAAATGTTGCCAAGATCAATGACAGTGAGAAAAAGGCACTGTAGAATTGGAAGAACCAGCAGGTTGCTTCTTCCTTGTCCACATTATTAAATTACTACTGCTGTTCCTTCACTGCCAAGAGGGAGAGCTTCAAGAATGGAAGAGGGAGAGCTAGGCTGCTTTATGTTGGGGAAGTGCAATGTGTAGCTCAGCTCTATGTGTTTGAGGAAAAACTTGGCAGAGTGTGAATTTTTGGTTAAAAACTTCTAACCACATAGCAGATAGTGCAGGTACCTACAGAGCACAATTAGCTTTGCATCTCCCCAGAGTAGACCACCCTATTTTGGTTGTCTCATCAACTGGCACTTTTAGTAATATTAAATCATTCTGAGACATTGGTAAGAGAAAGAATAAAAGTTCTGCTGACTCACAGTTCTGAACAGATGAAAAACAGCATTCTGTAGAAAAATGACCAGTTACATGAACAAGGCTTAATTGTCTCATAGTCTGCTTATTGACTATACCTACACACTGCACTACATGATTAATTCTAAACACTAACTGAACACTGACTATTGACAGAAAAAGAGCAAGAAAATACACTTCGTCAGAGAGGTATGGCTCTCTTCAAAATGAAAGGCAGAGAGGAATCAATTGATTACTGCTGGGTTGATTGACAGTCACCCCGATCCAGAAGAGTCCCTTCCAGCCAGACCTTTTAAAGGCAACATACGAGGTTGAAAATAATTCCTACAGAAAGTGGTGAGATTTTCACCATGTGCACTATCATCTAAGCAGCATTAATGACATCCATACCTTATCTCTTTTCCCTGGCTCAGAGCTTCCAGATGTGATAGTAAAGCTAGAAGAAGAAGAGGAGCTGTATATTCCTTATCACCAGGTTTCGGAGGCAAGCGTACCATTCAAAGGGGCTCATTCAGGTGAGTGAGAGAGTCAGCTGATGAACTGAGTCATGTCCGCATTGTTAATGAAGGAACTAAATAGGCTAGACCAAGCCAAGTGGCCTGCTTACTAGAACACACTATTTTTCAATGACTGGCCGGCTTCTCACAAGCAGGATAGAAACCTGTCTGCATTCTGCCTCCCCTTTGGTCAAAGCACATTCCATGTGCTTGAGACACCCCTGAATTGTCTAAAGTGAGTGTGATGGAGCCCAGTTTCTCTAGATCAGAGATCCCCAACCCCCGGTCTGCAGCCTGGTGCTGGTCCATGGCCTGAGCCGGATCGGGCTGCAGAGACAGACCTCCCACTCCCACCGCATGCACTCCCCTCCCCACAGCTGCCTTGCACATGCATGTGTGTGCCATCGCTGGCGTGAGCGCTCCCCCATCCCTTCACGCATATGCCTACACGAAGGGGTGGGCGGTCGGTCATGCAGGCACTCCTGTGCATGCACGAAGGGGTGGGGGAGCGCTCACGCCAGTGCTACCATGTGTGCGCGCACTCCCCCACCACTTAGTGCATGCGCCCGAGAGCAACCGCATGCCCAAGAGAGCGCGGAGGGTGCCCTGCCTTCCTCAGAGGCTCAGCCGGTCCATGGTCCCAAAAAGGTTGGGGACCGCTGCTTTAAGGGCTGACCAACCCCTGCTGCCAAGTTCTCCTTAGGGATGGGATTTTCGGATTTTCTGGACTACTGTAACCATAATTCTCCATTCTGGGAGTTCTGCCTGCCCTATAGACACGGATTTGATGCACCTGGGAGAAAGGGCTTAAATTGAAAGGCTTCGAGGCCTAGCTCCACCCAAGCTTCCTTTCGAGAAAGAAACCTGCCAGTTAGCACAGGGGCAGGAACAAAACAAAACAAAAAAACAACAACCTGGCCGTTGAGGGGCAGGGAAGCTAAGGCCTAGCTAAACCTCAAAGCCTCCCAATTTAGACTTTTCTCCCAGATGCATTACATCCAGGTGTTTGTAAGGAAAGTAGAAGTCCTAAAATGGAAATTTAATCATCATCATTATAGAACTCCGGAGCTGGAAAGGACCTTAGGGGTCATCGAGTCCAGCCTGTCGAGAAGGCACTGGGGGAATCGAACTCCCAACCTCTGGCTTCGCAGCCAGAGAGCTAAAGTACTGAGATATCCAGTGGTCTTTATCTTATCTGTAGTTCAGAAGATATGTTCATCCCATCCCTGCTTGCTATACAATATCTGTGGACATTGGAGAACTAACTAATTTGATGAAGCCTGACATTCTGCTCCTCTGCTTCTTCTGACAGGAGAGGGGCGTGAGAGAATCTTTGTGGGCGAAGTGCCCTATTTCTCAGGATGCAGGAGAAGCTTCAGTGACAGACCCGGTCTCATCAAACATGAGAGCCAGGGCACGCCTGAGAAACCCCACAAATGTTCGCGCTGCGCTAAAAGCTTCATGAAAAGATCCAACCTTCGTACCCACGAGAGAATCCATACAGGAGAAAAGCCATTCCGGTGCTCCGAGTGCGGGAACAGCTTCAGCGATGGGTCCAGCCTCATTCGGCACAAGCGGAAACACACGGGAGAGAAACCGTACAGCTGCTCGTCGTGTGGGAAAAGGTTCAACCAGAGTTCTAGCCTTATCAGGCACGAGAGAAGCCACACGGAGCAGAGACCTTACAAATGCTTGGAATGTGGGAAAAGGTTCAACCAGAGTTCGACACTAGTTAGACACGAGAGAATCCACAGAGAGCAAAGACTGTTCAAGTGCTCGGCTTGCGATAAAAGGTTTATTCAGAGTGCGAGTCTCCTTGCACACGAGAGAATCCACAGAGGAGAGAAACCATACTGCTGTAACATATGTGAAAAAGGCTTTGTTCATAAATCGAATCTTCTTATTCATGAGATGAAACACACTGGTCTGAAACCATTTAAATGCTCGGACTGCGGAAAGGGGTTTAATCAGAATTCAAGTCTCGTCATACACAGGAGAATTCATACAGGAGAAAAACCGTACAATTGCTCTCACTGCAGGAGACCTTTCAGTGACAAATCAAGCCTTAATAAGCACGAAAGAGCCCACCGAGGAGACAAACCCTACAAGTGTTCAAACTGTGGGAAATGTTTTGTTCGGAGGTCCCATCTCCTTACCCACGAAAGGATTCACACAGGAGTGAAGCCATTTAAATGTTCCCACTGCGGGAAAAGCTTCAGCAGTCGGTCGCACCTTATACGGCACGAGGGGACTCACACGGGAGAGAAACCCTACGACTGCTCCTTTTGCGGGAAAAGGTTCAACCGGAAATCCAACTTGACCAACCACGAGCGAACTCACACCGGCGAAAAGCCTTACAAATGCTCCGACTGCGGGAAAAGCTTCAGCGACCGGTCGAGCCTCATCAAGCATGAAAGGATCCACACGGGCGAGAAGCCCTACAGCTGCGCTTCCTGCGAGAAAAGCTTCAGCGACAAGTCGAGCCTGATCCGGCACGAGAGGATCCACACCGAAGAGAAGCCTTACAAGTGCTCGGACTGTGGGAAGGGGTTCAACCAGAGTTCGAGCCTCACCGTGCACGAGAGGACCCACACTGGGGAGAAGCCATTTAAATGTTCAGACTGTGGCAAGGGATTCATTCGGAGGACGATTCTCAATAAGCACGAGAGAACCCACACCGGAGATAAACAATAAAGCCTGGAATTGGGGGGTAGCGCTGGCTTATGATGATGACTGACGGAAGAAGGCAGGGGTCGTGCTTCAGTTTCCTTCGGCTGTGATGCTGAAGAGACGGAGCCAATATGGCCGACATGATTTATGGGAGTTACAGCCAAGAATATCTGGATGATCCCCTCTTGTTTGGGCCTATTCAGACCTGAGGGAGCTCTCTGAGAAGGGAAGCCTTAGAGCTCAGGCACTGTGTAGTAATCATACCGCTGTGAACCCTGAACGGCTTGGTTGAGATTTTCCCTCATCTGTCCATCTCAGGCAGCCCCTATGCAAGCCAAGCTCCTTTGGCCCATTTGCCCCACCTGCCCGGCCCCACACCCAGTAACGTAGATCTGTCCTGTATTAGCCACCACCCAACACAGAATTCTATGCCCTTTTAAAAAAGGAATTGATTTTAGAGAGAATCATGTACGGCTCTCCTGTCGGGTTGTGAGTCCGGTAGGTCTGTGTGAAACAGGAGTGGGTAACCGTGGTGAGTCTGCAGGCAATTTTTCCCCCCTTTTCCCTGGACTGTGGTAGTCTACGCAAAAGCCTGCTGAGGAAAATAATAATAATAATTCAACGTAAAACTGAACAGTTGTATCTCTCGCTACCCCCCCCCCCAAAAAAAACCACACTTTCAGGATCAAGCTGCTGGCTTCAAGGTTGCTTCACCACCGAACCTGCCCAACCCAGTTTAGCTGCCCTGAGAAATCGTACATTTTCGAGTCACATCTAGTTTTTCAGAAAGGCTGATTCTCAGCTCCAAGTAGGCCTGCAAAACCCCACACACACCGCCGCCTCCAAATGGCTAGGTTTATCCTCTGTAGGATCTAAGTCAAAGGTTAATTAGTCAGAAGATTCTTTCTAATTATGGGGGGGGGGATGTTGAGGGCCTTCTCAAGCCACCTGTTGTCCATGTCTGGTGTAAGAGACCCATGGATGTGGGGGAAAGTCCACTATAGGTCCAGTGGGCACACTTCATCTTTGTGGGGACCTTAGTTTTTATTTATTCTTGGAACTTGACCTTTACTAAATCTGCTGGCAATGCCTTATGCTAGTACTCAGTCACTAGTCTGACAGTGTTCTGCCCCTATAGATCTGCGGGACACTCAAAAATGGGATCCGCTGGATTTCCTGCTCCTCTGGTGCAGGTTTTTGGGGGCTGAAAAGGGGAAGGGTGGTGGTGAGGTCTTCAACCTGCTTCACTGAAGCACCGTGTTGGATATGGACTGTTTTCTGTTTTTGAAAAAGAAAGGCTGTAGTGAAAATCATGCAATTAAAAGATATAAGCTAAATCAAGGGAAAAAGAATAAATGCTAAAATAATGTGTGCATTGTAAGAAAATGTTATTTTTCCATTAAACTATTACCAGTTGCAGGGTAGTATCCAGAAAAGAGTGGGTGGAATTCCACTGGGAGCAGAGTCCTGTGGGTGTTACTTAGAAGCAAGCCCCATCATATTCAGTGGGGCTGCCTCCCAGGTAAGCATGCAGCCTTGTTGTAAGAGAATCAAGTTAGCATAAAACATTCTGGGAGCAGACTCTCGGTGGGGCTTCCCTTGCCCCCCCCCCCCCACACACACACATGCCACCAGTCTGGTCTGGTGGTTCCCATTCAAAGCAGATGTAGGAAATATTCACAGGTAGTGGAGATCTGTTCTGCTAGAGCAATGATTCCCAACCTTTGGTCCCTAGACATTCTTGGATTACAACACTCAGAAATTCTGGCCAGCACAGCTACAGTAGTAGTGAAGGCTTCTGGGAGTTGCAGTCCAAGAACGTGCAGGGAACCCAAGGTTGGGAACTTTCATGCTTGAGCAAGATAATAATACTGGGAAAGGTGGAAGGCAGAAGGAAAAGAGGAAGACCTACTGTACTACAAGATGGACTGACACTGTAAAGTAGTGGTTTCCAACCTTGGGTAACTCAGGTGTTCTTGGACTACAGTTCCCAGAAGCCTTCACCACTCGCTGTGCTGGCTGGGGTCTCTGGGAGTTGTAGTCCGAGAACGCCTGCATTACCAAGGTTGGGAAATCCTGGTCTAAAGGATGGACAATAGTTGGATGTCAGCTTATGGCTAGAATCCTGTTGACTTGATGTGACTGCAGAAGGGCAGACATTCTCTGGCTTGTCCCCTTGTGTGCAAACTGATCAGGCCTTCAATAGCAGCAGGAAAGAAACAAAAAAAAACATTAAGTAACAGGATTTTGGCCTATAAATTTACACATTCATGTCAAGGGACTGCAAGTATGCTAATATAACTGAGAATGTCATACTTCAAAGCACATCGTGCAAACACAGGATTTTGCTAGAAAGACAGTACTGCTAGGAGAAGTTGAAGGTATTAGGAGAAGAGGAAGACCAAATGGGAGATGTATCAACTCCATAAACCCACAACCTTGTGTTTGCAAGAGCTGAACAGGGCGGTCCATGAGAAGGCATTTTCCATTCATAGGGTCATGATAGGTTTGATGCGACTTGACAGTGCATGGCAGCAGGTCTGCTAGGGGTATGGCAAAACTGTGGCATGAGATGTAGAAGAAAACCAACCTGTTGTTCTTAAGAGTGAGCCTCTCACTTTGCTGAAAGTTGATTCCGTCTCTAGGTTGGGATGGGCAAAGTGAACCCCCTGCAGGCTGTAACTCCCAGCAGTCCACCCCATTGGCTGTGCTAGCTAAGGCTGATGGGAGTTGCAGTCCAGCAGTATCTGGAGCCTCCCCCCACCCCAATGGATAAAATACTCTCTTCTGCCCTATTAAGGCACTTAACATTTACTCACTGTCCCTCGGCATGGAATGGGGATGGAGCCGATTTACCTCTTGCATCTCAGTTTTAACTATAGGATGACCTGTTTCAACAGCTGTTTGGTATCTAGGTTATAATATGTAGTTCATCAGGGACAGGATGGGGTGGAGAGGAATGTATTTTCTTGTTCAGTAGCTGGAAACCGATGCCGTGTGCCCGTCTGTTGCAAAACAGGTCCTGATCTTGCAATGAAGCAGCGCTCTGGTAAAGCTGGCTTTTTATTTATTTTTTTGAGTACAACTTCTGGAATCCCTCTGGCTGGCTAGGGGATTCTGGGAGTTGTAGTCCAGAAAATAATAACTTTCCTAAGCTCTCCAGGGTCAGAGGGTTTGCTTTCTTGTCCACCCCTTCCCTAGCCCAGCTTCCCACTAGGTGTACCACGCAGGAACACGGATTCACACGATACTCTGCCCTTTTTAAGTCATGATGGCTGTTTTGTAACCTCCACCTCCTCACCCTTGCATGCCAGTGATCTCCGCAGAGTGAAAATATCAAATGTCAAGCAACCCAGGATGTTCTGAGGTGAAATAAATTTACTTTGTTGTTCACGAGGGCTATATTTATCGGTAGAAAGACTCAGTTTGACGTCGTAATAAATGCTATCGTCTCCTTAACTGTTGTTTGGTTTGTGCAGACACCAGAAATTTAATTCATTTCTCACATCAGGGCAAGGGGATGACGACGGCTGCGGGACTGGAGAGCTGTACATTAGACAATTTCAACCACTGGTTGCAAGATGTGACAGCTAAAATCGAACTTCCGTGTTCAAAAGCAGTTTGCTTCTGGATACCAACTGCTAGAGGATAAACAATCGTCGTTCTTTTTCCGGACTGCTTGAGAACTTCCCGGAAGTATCGGAGAAGGTCCTTGGTAGAAACAAGAAGCTGGGTTAAATGGAGTTTCAGTTGTACCTGAGAGAATCTCTGTAAATCTTGAAAGATGCCATTTTGACTTTTTGCAGCAGAGACGCACAAGGATAACCCCGAAGCCTTCTGAAGAAAGGTTGCAAACAGCAACGGGGCCTCCAGCTCTTGTTGGCCTGCTGCACCCATCAGCTGAAGCCAACGCAATCCGTGGGGAAGGAGCGATGGGCCTTGTCGCCAGGCGTCTGGAGAGTTTGCGCCTTGCTCACCTCCTATTCTAATGCACGCAGGGTACCGGTGGTCTGAGAGCACATTTATGGCACTCTTGAGTTTTTTTTTCAGGAGGGGCTGGTTGGTTGGTTTACAAATGGGACACATTTCCATACCACTTCAACAAGCAGGACCCACAACAAGAAAACCATGGCAACAGAGAGTACTCTTTTTCAGTGCTTGATCTGGCCAAGCCTTCCTCCACAATATACCATTCTGTTATTTTCTCACCCAGTCTTTCCATCACTATTTTGTAGCCACTGAGCATGTGGACTCCTTATTAGGAGCATGTGCCTGTTCGGTTGATTTTATTTTCTTAATTTTAGCCTGCTCTCTCTCTCTCTCTTGTGGATGGGTGACACAGCTTTGGCTGCAAACCTACACCATTCCCAGCTTGGGAATGCCGTAGGTTCGCAGCCTACGGAATTAGGCTGCAATGCACCGTGCCTAGAGTCGGACATGACTGGACTGAAGAATTGCAGCCTAATGATGTCCACCTCTGATGTTCCGTACATTGTGGAATTCATTTGGATGTATGACTTATTTCAACGAACAGCGAGCGGGCTTTCATCTCTTGTCTTGCCCATGCTTCAGGCAAGAGGGCATAATGTTATGAGCGCTGCAGTCAATTTTGGGGTATGTGGAGGGGTTCTAATCCCACCATGACACTAAACTCATTGGGTGTCCATCACGGTTTCTCAGCGTGACCAAGTGGGGATTTGAACCCAGTCTCCTAGTTGAACTAACCACTTGTCCAGGATCACCATCCTTGCTTGAATCAGAGGCAGGAACCAACTCGGGCCCTCCGGTGGGTGTTACAATTCCCTTCAGCCATAGCCAGGGTGGCCAAGGGTGAGAGAGGACAGCAACCACAGAAGTTTGCAAATGTGTCTACTCCTGCCTCTTGATTTTCTGTGTCCAAGATGGGGCGGGGATAGGGACCAGCCTACAAATGTTTGCTGCCTGAAGCAAACCCACGTTTTACTCCTCCCAGAGAGGCTGACTCAGAACCTGGATCACAAAACCCTGAATTCCCTCAGCCCGTGGCCCTGTTGACATGCCCAAGTTCTACCTCACCTAAGGCTAGCTCAGTCAAGAACATGTCTATGCTGCCTTTCTCCTCACACGGGACCCAAAACAGCTAAAAACAATTAAAACCACACCACAAATATACCACGTTTTCTCAGCCAGAGGGGGAACAGCCAAGGGCTTGCCAGCACGGCCCACTCCATGATGCTCCTCGCCTGCCCCTGGAGGCAGGGGCCTCGCTCGGTGGGCAACCCCCCCCCATGACGTGGTCAAACGCTCAGAATGAGAACCGTGTGAGGTTCGGGGCTTTCCCGTGCCTTATATTCTGCATCGACTCATCACCACGTAAATCACACGGCATCATTCCCCACACACATTGTTTGGTAGTCTTCCTATTTCGCAAAACTGAGCGGTTGGCGCATCGAGTGGATCAGGCCTCAGACTAAGAGATGGGGCTGGCTAACCTCTTTGAAACCTGCGCCATCATGAAGTAGCTTTTGTTCCCTGATCGTTTCAGCTAATCTTTTCTAAATTTTAACTCTGTATAAAGGCATCTTGGGATCAGTAGATTTTTGTTTTGATTTCCTTTCTTCCTTAGTCCTAACACGTTATTTGTCTTTCTTGTGGTGGTTGCACCCTGGAGCAGGAAACTGCTCTCCACCAAGTCTCTTCCCTTGGCCAGCCGACGCCTGTTCCGATCCTGTCAGTGTAAATGTGATCTCTGCCCCTGTTCAATACAACCACCATCTTCATAGGTACATTTGGTGGAGACCCTGAAGAGGGCCTTCTATGTGGCTGCTCCCAGGCTTTGGAACTCCCTCCCACTGGAGGCCAGATTATCCTCATCTGTGCTGTCCTTCTGGAAGCAGGCAAAGACCTTTCTCTTCAAACAAGCTTTCCTTAGGGCAGTGGTCCCCAACCTTTCCCAAACCGTGGACCGGTTAGCAAGCGGGGCAGGGCATCCGTGCATACATGGAGGGGCATGTGTCTGTGGGCAGGGTGTGTGTGCATCTGTGCATGTATATGGGGGGGCATACATGCGTTGGTGGGAGAGCCGTTTCCACGATCCAATCTTGCCAAGGCCATGGCCCCGTACCTGGCTGCAGACAGGGGGTTGGGGACCCCGGCCTTAGGGACTGGCTACCTGAGAGGGGTTTTTTAATGGACGGTCGTAAACAATATTTTAAATTAATGTTTTTACTTTCTTTTGTCATGCCTCTTTCATAACCCACTTTGGAGGGATCCTTTTGAAGAGTTCTGCTCTCCTTTTTGGCTTCGGCCATCCCAAATAACCCAGTGCTGTATTTGCAGCAAATCTAGCCACTTCTCACCTTTAAATCCAGAGTACTAATGCAAAAACTAACATGGTAAGGTACTCCCTTTAACCTCTCTTTGTGAAAATAATAATTATGTGCCATCAAGTTGGTTCCAATGTATGGTGACTCTTTTCAGGGTTTTCCCCTGTAGAGAATCCTCAGATGTGATTTTCCTTCCCCTTCCCTTCTTCTGGGGCTCCCCTGGGAACTGGACAGCTTTGCCCCAAGGCTACACAGGTTGGCACTAAATAAATATACACAAATATTCCTAGGAGGCACAGGGAGGAATCCTGAGCCAGGTACTCAAGCAAACTATCCAGGTCAGCTTCCTCAGAGAGCCCTGCCAATTTATCCTTACTCCCTGCTTTTTGTTTTTTTAACTAGCTGCTGACCCGTAAGAGGGCATTTTCTTTTTATGATGCATGCAAGTTTGCTCAGCAGTAGGCATGGGCACTTTGTATTCATATCCTGGGATACAAATATGAACCGTGGCGCAGCCCGATTCCCTCCCCCAGAACCAACCAGGTCCATTCATTGGGCTCCGCACAGCATGGCATTCCCCCGTTGTAGTCGTCGTGCCAATTGTGGGAGAAGTCTAGCTGGCACTTCCCCGCCTCCTTGCACAGCCAACCACTGATCAGCTGACCGGAGTGACTCCCCATCCCACCTCTGTGCTGCAGTGGACCACTGATCAGCTGACCAGAGTGACTCCCCACCTCTGTGCTGCAGTGGTCAGCTGCATGAGGAGGCAGAGAAGTGCCGGCTAGACTCCTTCAGCAATTGGCATGACGATGACAGAGGAGGATAGTGCTACTTGAAGCCCAGTGAGTAGATCTGGCTGGTTCTGGGGGGAGGGAACTGAGCTGATATGGCAAAGGTGCAGCCAAGGTTCGTATTCCTATCCCCAGGATAGGAATATGAACTGTGCAGGACTATTCAGCAGTCAATACTGGCTCTTTCAAGAGGGTTTTAAAAATTCATTTATAGCATAATAAAAGGGTACTACACCCAATAGAACACACTAGAACACAGCTTGCCTACAGCAGGTTGGGTTTAGAAATAGGTTTATTAGGCAGAGGACTTTAATGCCCATGTTTTTTTTTAAAAGGGTTGGGTTGTTGCTTTTCCCAATGAAATTCAAATTCTGTGATGTGTTTACATCATAATGATGAGGTAATAAGCAGAATGACCTATTCTGCATAATTTATTCTTGTTTTGCTCTCTTTTTATTTTAAACGTTTATGTATTAATAATATGTCAGTGCTGGTCCATAGCATAGTTCTCTGGGCAGCTTATAACAACAAAATCATGAATTAGTTACCAATGATAAAATGAACAGCAGATAGTAAAAATCAATATAATGGGGTGGGGGGAGAGAGAACACAGAAAAGCAAAGGAAAATAAAACTACATGCAAAACCAAACCTCACTCACAAAATCAGAAATCTGAGGGATCCAGATTTCTGAGATCCTTTCTATATGTATGGAGAGCTCCCTTGGAATTGTGGCATATCCCCGGTACTAAAGAATTAAACTTGGGTATTCACAATGGCCAGAATCCAATTATGATTTACTTTTGCATAAATGAAATCACCCAAATCCTGGCAGAAAATTCCTGCTAATTAATGAGGCGCTGGTTGCATTCCAGGGTGTTTTGTTACTTCCTGCCTCTTCTTTCTCTGAGTGTGAGAGGTCAGAGGGCAGCTCTGTAGGACACTGCCCCACTGAGACATAAAGTGGGGGCCGCCCCAGTAAGAGCCGGTTGCACATCTCGCAAGGCATGCGAATTCAAGCCAGAGCTGAAGACACCCCTAGACGACCATCTGGAAGTGATTATCCGATATAACCCTGTTGTGCTTAAAGCACTGGTTCTTAACCTTAGGTTAGGCTCTGTAGGACACTGCCCCACTGACACATAAAGTGGGGGCCGCCCCAGTAACAGCCGGTTGCACATCCCCCAAGGCATGCGAATTCAAGCCACAGAGCTGAAGACACCCCTAGACCACCATTTGGAAATGATTATCCGATATAACCCTGTTGTGCCTTAAAGCACTGGTTCTTAACCTTAGGTTACTCAGGAGTTTTGGACTGCAACTCCCAGAAGCCTTCACCACCAACTGTGCTGGCTGGGGTTTCTGGGAGTTGCAGTTCAAAAACATCCGAGTAACAAAGGTTAAGAACCACTGCCTTAAAGCAGAGGTTCCCAACCTTGGGAACTGCAACTCCCAGAAGCCTTCACCACCAACTGTGCTGGCTGGGGTTTCTGGGGGTTGCAGTACAGGAACACCGAGGTTTCCCAAATTTGAGAACCATTGGCTTTGGCTCAAAGGGCAGAGGTCTACCACAACTCTTTGGCTTTCAGACAGATGGGCACTTTCCGACAGCGGGAACAACAGTGTGTGCATGAGCTTCAAGATGAGCTGAAAAGAAAAAAATCCATTGGCAAAAGGTCATCAACAATGTCAGGGGGTCAGGCAGAGGAAAGTGGTGTGTGTGAGAGGTTGCAAAATTTCAAATTTGCAACCAAGGGATATACCCATGTCCCACATAATCCGCCTACTTCCCACTGTATTGTCCCATACAGAATTATGCAGCCAGTCAAATCAAATCAAATGTTAGTTTCTTTTACCCCTAAAACGGATTCCCGTATGGCTCCTTCTAACTCCGAGCTGCGTTAATATAGTGAAATATTGTGATTGAATTATATGACAGGAGGAAAGAGGCAAGAAGTACACAGGTATAAAGATCATCTCTGGAATTCAGGGGGCCTAGAAATCCACCATGGATGCTAATTAAGAATTAGTAAAAGTTTTTTTTTAAAGGTTTAGTTATAACAGGGCAGAATGGCCATCTTTTCTACCTGAATGTTTCTGCTGGTAACAAACAAGCATTTTTTCACTTATCTGCTCCTTGACATGCTGCTTTTTCTATCTCCAAGGGAGTTTTTGTTTCCTCTGACTGCCATAGGGAAACGTTCAGATATATGAACTCCCCCTTACTAGCAGTTTGGAAAGACCAGACAAGACTTTATAGCACAGTAGAAAGAAAGGGCAGGCAATGGTCTGTAGTGTTCTTCAAACAATAACCAGTCTCCAGGAATGTTCTACCTCACCAAAATATAAGCCTTCCTAAAGCTGCTCTCCCTTATGACTTTTCTGGTGTCTATGGAGGTTCGACCTGTCACAGAAACTTTTTCCACAGTCTGGACATTTGAAAGCCTTCTCTCCTGTGTGGGTTCTCTCATGCGCAAGCAAATTGGCACTCTGGTTGAAGCCTTTCCCACACTTTGCACACTTACAGGGTTTCTCCTCTGTGTGGGTTCTCTCGTGTTTTATCAGACTCGATTTGTAAGGAAAGCTTTTTCCACAACCTGAGCATGCGTATGGTTTCTCTCCTTCGTGAGTCCTTTTGTGTACCACCAGAGTCCTTTCGTTGGTGAAAGTTTTGTCACAATCTGGACATTTATACGGTCTTTCTGTGTGGGTTCTCTCATGTACCACAAGATTTCGCCTTTCGTTGAATCTTTTCCCACACTCACTACATTTATACGGCTTCTCTTCCAAATGGGTCTCTGAGTATATAATTAAGGCTGACTGACTTCTAGAACTTTCCCCACAATTGGGGAATGGAGGCGCATTTCCTCTACTGTGGGTTCTTCTGTGCCTCAGAAGGTTTGACTTCTGTACGAAGCTCTTCCCACATTCAGAGCACATATGTGGTTTCTCTCCTGTGTGGGTCCTCTCATGTTTAATCAGGCTTGATTTGCTAGTGAAGCCCCTCTTGCAACCTGAACATTTATATGGTTTTTCTCCCGTGTGTGTTCTCTTGTGCACAACCAGGGCTGATTTGTTTGTGAAGCTTTTCCCACAGTCACAGCATTTATAGGGCTTTTCTCCCAAGTGGATTTTTTGGTGCTTCGTCAGGTTTCGCCAGTCACTGAAGCACCTTCCACACTCAGAGCATTTATGGGGCTTTTCTCCTGTGTGTGCCCTCTCATGCACAATGAAGCTGGACCGCTGGCTGAAGCTTTTCCCACACTCTGAACATTTGTACGTTTTGCTCCTCATGTGGGCTCTTTTGTGTATCAGAAGCTTATACTTCAGACTGTAACTTCTACCACAGTAGGAACACTTATATGGGTTTTCTCCATTATGTGGTCTCTCATGAGCCAGGAGTTTTAATTTTTGAATGATGTTTTTCCCACAGGCTGAGAACCAACATGGCTTCCCTCCTGCTTGGGTTTTCTTGTGCCTGATGAGAGCTGACCTATAACTGAAGCCTTTCCCACAGTGTGAGCATGAATATGGCTTCTCTCCTCTATGTGCCCTCTCATGTCTGATAAGGCTTGATTTGTCAATGAAGCCTTTCCCACAGATGGGACACAGATACGGTTTTTCTCCCGTGTGCCTCCTTTCATGGATAACAAGGCTTAAACTGTGGCTGAATTTCTTCCCACACGTTGAGCACTGATAGGGTTCCTCTTGTTTATGTGTCACCTCATGGACAAGAAGGTGCGACCTCTGGACAAAGCGCTTCCCACAGTTTAAGCATTGATACGGCTTTTCTCCAGTATGCATCCTCTCATGTATGAGGAAGTTGGATCTTTGAATGAAGCCCTTCCCACAGTGCAAACAATTATACGGCCTCTCCCCTGCTTCCATCTTCTTGTGCCGGAGAAGGGCTGATTTATGGCGGAAGCTTTTCCCACATTCTGAGCATTTATACGGTTTTTCTCCTGTATGGGTTCTCTCATGTCTCGTAAGGATAGACCTCTGACTGAAGCTTCTCCCACACTCTAGGCAATTATATGGCTTCTCCCCTGTATGTGTTTTCTCATGGCGGACAAGGCTAGACCGCTGAGTGAAGCTTTTCCCACACTCAGAGCACGGGTACACTTTCTCTCCCATGTGGCTTCTTTCGTGGATGAGAAGGCTTAAGCTCTCACTGAATGTCTTCCCACACTTGGAACAGTCGTAAGACTTATCTTGCTTGTGTGTCATCTCATGGATGAGAAGGTGCCACCGTTGAACAAAACTCTTCCCACAGTCAGAGCATAGATATGGCTTCTCCCCTGTATGGATTCTCTCGTGGATTAAGAAATTAGATTTCTGAATGAAGCCCTTTCCGCAGTACGAGCATTCGTAGGGCCTTTCCCCAGCTTCCATCTTCTCATGCCTGAGAAGGGCCGACTTGTGGCGGAAGGTTTTCCCACATTCAGAGCATTTGTATGGTTTCTCTCCCGTGTGAGTCCTCTCATGTCTGGTCAAGATAGATTTCTGACTAAAACTTCTGCCACACTCAGAGCACTGATACGGCTTCTCTCCCGTATGTGTTTTCTCATGTCTGATAAGGCTAGACCTTTGAGTGAAGCTTTTCCCACATTCAGAGCATTTATTCTCTTTTTCTCCCATTCTGCTTCTGGTGCGCCCTCCTATGTTGGAAAAAAGAGAGTCACAATATGAACAAGTCAAATCATCTGACAGGAATATAAAATGAGAAGGAACTGTGTCTACCAATCTCACACACACCCCTGTGGTCTATGGAGAAAAGGAAACTGCACTAGGATATGTTTTTAACTCTAGCTTTTCTCCCACACTCAGAATCAGGGTATATTTTTATACTCTAGTTTTCATACCCAGGTAGAAAACTGCATATGCAAAAGATGAAGCAGGAAGCTCCAACGCTGGGGACATTCAAGAGAAAACTGGACCACCATCTGTCAGATCAGAGGGACATGATGGCGCTGCGGGATAAACCGCAGAAGCTTCTGTGCTGCAGGTTCAGAAGACCAGCAGTCGTAAGATCCACGTGATGAAGTGAGCTCCCATCGCTTTGTCCCAGTGACTCGCCAACCTAGCAGCTCGAAAGCATGCAAATGTGAGTAGATAAATAGGTACCACCTCGGTGAGAAGGTAAGACAGCGTCCACGCTGGCCACGTGACCACGGAAACTGTCTTCGGACAAGTGCTGGCTCTACGGCTTGAAAACGGGATGAGCACCGGCCCCTAGAGTTGGACACGACTGGACTAAAAATGTCAAGGGGAACCTTTACCTTTCTGTCAGATCTGCTTTGATTTGGATTCCTACACTGAGGAGAGGATTGAACTTAACGGCTTTATAAGCCCCTTCCAACTCCATTATTCTATTATCCTATTACACGGATCGATTTACATGCAGAGCTGTAGCTGTGTCATCCATTGAAAGCCTACCACATCTTTCTTTGCCTACAGTTCCCATAATCTCTACCACTGCTGTAGGCCCAAGACATCTGGAGAGCCACCATGGTCCACCCCGGTTTACTTTGTGTATAATTCCAAAGATAGGCACACTTCACATTTGGCTGAAACTGGTTGCTGATGATCACGTACGGTTTGCATAATTTGTTGTGGCTAATTGCAGCTAATGGATGAAGTGCCGGAACTGTGCATCTCAGCTGCCCAGTTGGGCACATGACCAGGCAAACCACCAAGATGTGCTCTAACAGCTTATCGATTAGTCACAGTGAGTTATGCAAACATTATGCAAACCCCAGTAGGGTTCTTGTTGTTCCCTTGTAGCCAAGTTATTAAAATTATAGTAAAAAGCTAGTCTTATGTGGCATTTTGAATATGGAGTCATGTTGTGATAGAAATAGTTAGTACTGTGAAAGTAAAGTAGCGTTCAAGAGCCTGAGAATTACACAGCACATGTTATAAAGCCTCTTGGTACTTATTGCAGTCTCTGACAGTCAAAAGCCGCCTAGAGTGGTCGCAAGACCAGATAGGCGGGATATTAATAAAATAAAATAAAGAAATGAAATAAATAAATAAATAAATAAACCACCGCAAGTTGCTATTTTTAATGAGTTATCCCCCCCTTCCTTTGTCCTCTAGTGGTTCTCAAACTGGGATCCCCAGATGTTCTCGGACTGCAATTCCCAGAAGCCTTCACCACTTGCTGTGCTGGCCAGGATTTCTGGGAGCTGCAGTCCAAAAACAAAAACATTCGGGAACCTAAGTCTGAGAATCACTGCTCATAGTGTAGCCTTAAACCTCTAGTGTACAGACAGCCAACCACTGCACAGATGTGATTTTGATTCCAAGTGGATTATCAGTGGACCTCTCCTGAACCGTCTCCTTGACCTACCTTTATTTATTTATGAGATTCAGTGGTGCCTCGCTTAACGAGCGCACCGTAGAACGACGAATCCGCATAGTGAGGGGGTTTTAGCGATCGCAAATGCGATCGCATACCGATGGCCCCTATGGCGGAAAATCGCTTTGCCATGACGGGTAAGCGGTTTGCTTACCGAC